TGTATAATTACATTACCATGTACCGTTATCAGCTTTTGTAGATGGAAATAATTTTTCTTTATGTATCCGTCATGAATAAAATATTTAAAAAAATTACTTTACTTGTTCTTTTTGTTTAAAAAGATATCATGTTTGTGATTTTCGCTCACCCTAAGCTTGATTTATTTTAAAAATAAAACTATTATTGTTTGACGGGTGCAATAAACACACCCTTTTGTATTTGTACAATATATTGTGTCTAAGCGCGATATTACCATTGTTTATTTTTCACACTTCATATTTATACACATGCAGTATTACAATTTAATTGTTGTCATTGCATGTTGTTGGTTTTTGTTTATTAAATTGTTGTTTATTGCATTCATTGAACGCCGCCTTTCCTTGTTGATCTTGTTTATCATATTTTACATACCGATACATGGTGATCACGATGAACACACATTATAAATCGTCTGCATGTTTACCGGAAGTAATGTACATGTTACATCAACATATCTTGAAATGTTGTCTGTTTGTATCGGTTAATTTTGTAAAAATATCTAAATTAAAACGCAGAAATAAAATACATCAATGCGAGAATGATGACACCGCAGAAATAAGATACGCAGAAATTTAAAACCCCTTATTTTAAACAAAATCGCAGAATTTTAAGCCCGCAGAAATAAGTATTTATACGGTATATTAATGATTAATTTGTATTAATTCAATATTGTTAAATATTTAGTTATTGTCTATATATGTGACTTTATTTTTGATAAGGCATTGTAACAGTACTACTTCTTAATTTGACCTTTTTTGTATTAGGGGGAGAAGCCCTTAATTAATTCCTTACCAGTAAGTTTTATTGTACACGATGGTGATAGCTTGAAAGGATTTAGCTAAAAAAGATACTACATGAATCTTTTTTTTTTCCTATTGGATTGTAAAATATTTATTGATTGTCAAAAAACTATATGGAGTTCTCCTCGGTGACATTAAACAGTCCCAGCTGGCCATACATGCAGGACCTTGCAGACCATGAGACAGGGTGGTCTGTACCAAGACAAATCCGATATCGAGACATGGTGGACAGGACAGACAGTGATGTTCAGATCCCCCACTCAGAAAGGAAGTTACTACACTCAAGGTCCTGGTCTTCAATTACTTCATTTGCTTACTTGGAGAAAAGGTGCCGGAAACAATAGTATGGTATCACAAAAAGCACAGACTGTGATAAAAGTCAAACCAAAAAAGATACTATAAACTGAATTCATAGATTATATAAAAGAAATTTATTAATTCTTTAAGTTTATAGTTTACATAAAAAAGATACTGAGTATTTAATTTTGATATATAGCATATTAACACACATAAAGTGCATTATGCCATATAAATTTCAACTTAGTGCTTAAATACTTTCTGATGCACTCAGTAAGCAAACATGATTTACTAATCTTTGGATTCCCACATTCCTCTCCACCTAGCTCCAATGAGATCCACTTGGTTGACCATAACATGTACCATACCTCATATTGTTTGTTTACAGTTTGGAATGAAAATATGAAAGTTTATTCTAGATATTATAAAGCTTTTATTAAATTTCACAAGGCTTTCAACACACCAACAATGTAATTGTCATTTTATTTTTTTGAAAATGTGTTGGACTGCTGGTCTGATGCATGTAGATGCTGTGTTGGCATATAGCGATTCCCCTCTTTTGTGTGTGTGTGTGCATGCATGCGTGCATGTGTGTGTGTTTTATACATTATATAGTTAACATCTTTTGAAAACATCTTGTCCAATTTCAACCAAACTTGACTGGGTTGTTCCATGAGTAAAGGGCTTCCAAAGTTGTTCAAAGTCTTAAATTAGGTCTAGAGCATAGATATTTTGCAAAAGGTATTGTCTGGTAGACATTCACAAGATTTTCACATTATACCCTGGGGGTCAAATTAGCCCTGCACTAGGGTTCATAGATTTTCCTGATATGTATGTAGTTTAAAATTAAAATCTTCTCCTCTGAATTGACAAAGACTAGAGGTTTAGAGGTTAGATATTTGTCATGAAACATTTGGTAGTTAACCTCTACCAAAATTATTCACGTTACAGCCCAAGGGTCAAAATTAGCCTCACCCCTGGGGTCATATATTAAGGTTTTCCTTATATGTATATAGCCAAAACTTTTTAAAAAATCTTTTTATCAGAAGGTTTAAGGCTTAGAGCTTAGATACTTGGCAAATGATATCATCAGTACGTCCTTTACCAAAGTTGTTCAAATGTTGCCCCTAGTGAAATAGCACCAGGGTGTCATAGGTTTTCCTTAAATGTATAAACATGTATAGAAAAAAAAACATAACAAATATTCTCCTCTGGATTGACAAAGGCTAGATGTTTGATATTTGGCATGAAACCTTTACCTGTGTAGTAAACCTCTATCACTATTGTTCAAATTATAGCCCTGGGGTCAAAATGGCTCTGCCAAGGAGTCTTTTTAGGTTTTCATTATATGGTATGTATAAAGTAAAAAACTTTTTAAAAAATCTTGTCTGAAGGTACAAGGTTTACAAGGCACCATGGTGTCTTAGGATTTCCTTAAATGTATATACATGTATGGAAAAAAACTTAAACAGTATTCTCCTCTGAATTGACAAAGACTAGAGGTAAGATATTTGGCATGAAACATTGTGTAGTCAACCTCTACCAAGATTGTTTTAATTTTAGCCCTGGGATAAAATTTGCCTTGTGGGAGGGTTGGGGGGTCATTAATTTTCGTAATGTACTTGTAGTAAAATTTAAGAATGTACAAGGCTAAAGCTTAGGGCTTTGATGCCTAAATTTTGTCAAGTACAAATGCTTTTATTTTGAATCAATAATTGCACTATGGAGTGCATTTTTTTCCAGTGAAGGCGTTTTGCATGTAAACAAAAATGTTCACCTAACTTTTAAGTCTTGCTCATGCTGAATGATTCAATACCACATTTTTGTAGACTACAAACCCGCATGTTGGTCTTGTTTTTAAAGTAATAGATAAAAGCACTGAAGACTCTATTTTACTATTTCAGCATTGTATACTGCAGATAAAATCAAAGCACAGAAGGCGCTGAATTTGTTTGGGTCTCAGAATGTAAGAAAGGTACAGGTTGTGAGATTATATGTATAGTGCCACCAATGCTTTCCAGCGTTTTAATTGTAGTAAATTGGACGAATTGCAACACTGATATTCAATCCAATGTTTATTTGACTTAAACAATTTGAAAAAAAAAATGAGTTGCCTTTACTAGGATTTGAACTCCAGACCTCTCGCTTCCTAAGCGAGCGCGAAAACCCTTCAGCCACGGTGAATTTATATGTGAACGGCCTGAAGAAAACCATATTATTCTAAATTAGGGCTTGTAATGACTAACACAGATGTAAATAATCCTGGAGCTTACTATAAGCATGTTTATTTATAAAGAATCAAAGGGCTGCAAGTTCTGTGGTATTTTCTGATCTTTGCAATCTAAATCATACTGTATATCTGTATGTATTTTCCTGTATAAGTTTATTGTATTATAATTCATTTTGCAAGGCACCAGAGTTTTATACATACGAATTCTGCATAACTAGACTTGCATCAAAATATCATTTATGTTCATTTCTTACGACAGCTACACTTTATCCTTGCATATCATGGCTACTTCCTTAACAAAGACACTTAAAAAAGAATTAAAAAAAAAAAGTTTCCTCGACTGGGATTTGAACTCCAGACCTCTCACTCAGTAAGCGAGCGCGGAGAAGTTATACAAACAATGTCTTAATAACATCAAGTCATTCTAAATTTAGAACTTCCATTGCATTTCTGGTTTTGTACTCCTTATTAACTTCGAGGTATTTTGTTCAGGGTAAACCTGTTGTTTAAAATAATATAGCGAAAATCTTCTCGCCCAAACAGTCTGACATGTAGCACTACTCGGTTTGTGTAGTATTCGGTAATCTACATCGCTAAAAATAGTATTTTCATTGATAAAATCATATTCATCCCCGTAATTTGTGATTGTGCATTTATTGACGATTCTATAAGCCAACGCTATTTTTAAACTTTGAATGCGTTGTAATTTGTTGGATACTTATAACAAAATAAAAACATTTCTTTCTTTTAAATCGCTAGTTTTAAGCTGTTTTGAGAACTACTTGTTGTTAGGTTTGTCGTAAACTTCTGTGTCAGAGATTGAATGTCCGCTTTTTATTTACTTATTTTCGATCAGAAAATACAATAAAACAATATTAGAAATCTTCGACCATTCGGGAATTATTTTGCTTGAAAATTAATGTGCCTGCCTTTGACCATCTTTACGAAGTGATCTCCCCTGAATTTTTCAGCGTTAGTGTACATATAAAGGGAAGAACCCGCTTCAAAAAAGTGGACTACTTTCGGCATTTGCAATTAACAGCATTAGACTCTGAAATTTCGCTACCAGTATTTGTTTGGTCTGACGACCCAAACAAATAAAAACGGTCTTTGCAAACTGGTTTCTGTATTGCTCTTCAGTTTCGCAAACCATATAGTCATGCCTGGGAAAACACAGCACTAGTCTGTAGGAACAACACCTCTTTCTTGTCCTATTAATAACTTGAGAAGAAATAAGCCTAGATTTGTGTTCGAAATTGACTGTAACCAGAAGATGACTTCTATTGAGTTCAGTAGATTAAAATCACATGGTCTTGATGTCAAGCAATGTATACCTCAGTGCTTGCAGTGCTTTGATTTAAAAATATGTTAATTGGCATTGTATGTAAAAGCTTTTATTTCATTTGATGTTGATCCACATATTCTTACGCATTCACAATTTTATTCTTATTATTTATATGCACTGTACAACGCCGTTGAATATTGTTAAATAGAAACAGGCGTTTAATTAAATAAAAAGTTTCAAGTTTCATGAAATAAACGCCCCAAGTAGTTGTTATATCATGTCTTTCGATCTACTCTCCTCCACTTGAATAACGTGATGTGAATAACGTGACGTACTTTATATAATTATTTTTCAGCTATTTGTTAAGCATAGCAAACTTTACTTAAAACGAAAACATGCTAAGACATTCATCTCTAAACCAATAAACCATTCTAAACAATCCAGATCGTGTTGCGATTTAAAGCAGTAAATTCTTATTAGATTTTAGTGAATATTATAGTCATTATGTGTCTTTATTATTAACTGAGTCAGAAACTGGTGGCAATATCAAATTCCTTTCTTATTACTTCATGCACATATATACAAGTATGACATGACACAAATATTATATCACAAATTTACCGCACAAAGAAGAACAAATCAAATGTACAGGTTACAGGTGTTATATTTAGAAAATTCTTATTTATTATTTTATATAAGAGGCATTTACACGTAGTAAAACATTTTGTGGAATAAGAGATCTTTGTTTGTAAACCTGGTATTTATAATGAGTGATGAAGGTGATAAACAAAGTGTTCGACCGAGAAAACAGAGACATGCTTTCTACAAAGTCTCCACTGGATTATCGGTAAGCTTGTTTGTTAAATTTGAAATTCTTTTAATAAAAATTTATACAAATTATAATAAAAATGATTTTGTAAACATAGGTTCCGTTATAAATCACACATTTTCATTATTTTCGTTTGGTTACTATTTATTTATGTTTTTCACTTTCACTTCTACAACCTTTGTCTCTTATCAATTATACATATGTTTGATATGATGTCTATATTGAATTAAACCATATTAGTGTTGTTTTTTGTATCTGAGTATAATGTTTGATGTCTAATAAGATAATAAATGTTATCAATAAAGCCTGACAGTATGATAGAAATCAGGACAAAGCATAAGTATGTAAAGTTGACTCTCACTATCTCAAACTCTTTTTACTCGAAATTCCAAGTAATTCGACGAATTTTTAAAGTCCCGTCACAATTACAAATTTTCTTAGACTTCGGTTGTGTTGGTAGGAATTTTTTAGTCCCAACAATGGAGTTTAAACTAGGGCCGGGAATCATATTCGAATATTCGAAACACTACCGAATATTCGCACATTGAAAAACGAATACGAATATTCGAAAAAAAAAGAAGTTTTTTTTGTTATTACTTTCGAATTTCAATTAAGATAGTAAATTAAACCATTGACCTTCACTTGACCAGGTGTTCACACGTTTGCACGATTATCGCCAATAAACTGTGAAAACTTTGGGGTCTAGTTGATCAAAAGGGCACCCGTTTCACAGTTTGCCATTTACCTGTTTAACAGAAAATATTGTAATTCTTTCCGATTTTAATTATCTTATTTATTGTTTTCTGTGCAATAATCTTTCCGATGAATCAGTTATTGTCTTAAATTTTGTGAAGACGAAAAAATCGACACGCATTAATCGGTGCTTTATGAAATTATGGTCAGGGTCTATATTCCGTCAAAATATATTTATTCCGTAGAAATTTAACTCCGTGTGATTTATTGCGTTATAGCTAAATTCATCTGAAGAATATTTTAAACCTTATCTAATATTATAAATAAATAAAAAAATATATTAAAGTTAAGTTTCAATATAAATTATGTGTTTTTGGGGCTAAGAGGCTACGGTGATTCATATTACTGTCGAATTACCTCCCGTTAATAAGACAAATGATCAGCAGTCGGATTAACTGAATAAAAGGCAATCAAATTATGAATTGATTTCAAAAGTAAACATTTATGTCGATTTACAATATATAAAATAAAAAACTTTGACGTAGTAATATAGGAATTTTAATCGTCGATTATTCCAAGCATATTAAAGTAGTATAGTACTCGACGCAATCAATTTCGGATACGTATACGTCAAATAGAAATATTGGAACAAATGTTGTAAAAACGAATATTCGAACATCAAATTCCTTATTCGTTCCCAAACTTTAAACATATTTTCCTATCATGAAAACAGTCGACTAATCAATGGTAGGCGACGTCAAGATATATTAGAATCTAAATCTTATCTTGATCATATACGACAAAGAAACAAATTAAAATGTATTATTTATGTGTTTTTTAATCTTTATCATATATGTATATTCCCTAATGAAAGGAGTTTCTAGACTTTTGATTGTCTAACCTAATGAATGTTCTCCTTCAAATGTGTCCAATATACTGTGATATTTCAAAGTGACAAACGGCTATGAACAATTGTTTACTTTTAAAAACACTTAAATTGTTCAATCTTGCCATTTAATTTTTAGGTTGAGAAAGTAATGGAGGAACTTGGTATTTCTGAACCTATACGAGAAACACTTGGTAAACTGCTAAGTCAACTTGCTTCAAATAGCGTTTTATGTAAAACATACGCTGATGTCTCAACTCAAACATCATTCGATGATATGCCAGGAGAAATTGACGCAGTAGAATCGTCAGTTGAACGTGACACGGATGAGACAGACGTTAAAGTACCGTACGAAGATTGTAATGTTATAGATGAAAAGAATATTGACAAGGAAAGTCCTTATGATAACGTCGCATTTAAAACTCCAATGAACACAGACTATGGTAACTATTCACTACAGATCCGGGAGAGGCTTATTACAGAAGAAACTAGACGACAATCTGCAGTTGAAGTTAATACAGGTTGATATCTACTTAGAAAATAATCTGTCCCAACAAATGTGTTTAAATTTCTATCTCAATAAGTTTAAAGTTTTGCCTTATTAAAGTAAAGATTAAAGCCTTTAAAACGTGAAATAGTAATATGTAAAGTTGTTGTATAATTATATATTCAAATTAAAAATCAGCCGGTTACTTTTTACACATCAGTACAATTTAAATTTCAGTTAACCAAATATTTAGGGTGCATTAGTAGCACAACACAAATAGGTATAGAGTTAGGACGCTAGAATGGTTTACCAGTGGAACAACGATTGTGTTCCCACTGTCAAACTATGGAAGAGGATGAAAAGCATGTATTATTATATTGCCCTCTATATGAATTCATTCGTAACGACTTGATTAGAGAAGAACAAATGTTAAACAGTGATTTTAATACCCTCTAAGACATTGATAAAGTAGGATATATTCTCTCTAATGCAGATATTGTGTTTTTTTACTGTCAAAACCTCTTTGTTTAACATACTGCACCAAATTGTATAAACGTTGGTTAAATTTAACCACTGGGTTAATTAAAACAAAGTTCATACAGTTGGGTGCTAAATAGAAAAAAAACAGACATTTATTTTATATAACTATGTGTTTTTATAGATGTACTTTTAAGAAAAGAGCTTTGCTTATCTTCTAAACCTGATTGGATTAAATGTGACTATAATAGTTTTTCCTTTATTGAATATCTAAGGTACCTTGTAACACAAATATTTTACTTTACTTCAGAAGATTACTTTTTAACACAGATTCCCAACTTGGGTTCAAATTAGCAAGAGTATTCAGCTTCATGGTCTCTTATAAATATGCGCATCCATAGTGTATTTTATATGTATTTTAATTGGATACATTGATAAGAACCTAATAATCAAATACAATATGAATTCAAATTTCTGCACTGTATCTTTGAGATGTACAAACTTGGTAAATCGACATAAATGTGTTTTCAGGAAAATATGATGAACGCGAATGTCTAGCAAATGCCATACAGTTTCACATTGAAGATCTGATTGACGGAGTTATTTTCCGAGACAGCGAACTGCCTGACTGTCTTTTAGCTGATGGTTGTCTCACAGAGGACGAATGTTCATCGGTTAGAAGAATTCGAGATAGAAAAGATCAGATCAGAATTCTTGTAAGCTTAATTAACGGGAGAGATGTGTATGTGCTAAGAGGATTTCTGAAACGCATAAAGGGACACAATCAACATGTTGCTGTTAAAATACAAGAGAAGTTTGAAGATAATAAGCGCAAAGGTTTAGGACAAAAACTATGTTTCCTGTGCCAGCTCAAAAATAACTTCAATGTAAAACATATAGCAGATTCTCTGTGGGCAATACAAGTAATTGATAAAGGCGTTTATAATACAATTATCTTTTCTGATTTACCGACAGGAGCACAAGAAACATTATGGTGTAAAGTATTTCACTCTCTGAACTATTTGGACCATCAACAAGCTGAGTTAGCCCATCAAACGATTATGAAAGCATTGACGAGGCAAAACCTGTTTACATATCTAGCTGACGGAATAAATGATATGTTGATGAAGAATCATGGAAGGTTAAGTTGTTCTTGTGAACAAAATTCATTATTACGGAGGAGACATAATTTCTTAGCTGAATCAACATCTGACGAATCATTTCTTCCCCGGTCAAGTTCGGACGGAACACCAAATGATATAGCAAGTACTTATAGCACAGATGATAGAACTATTCCTAAAACTGTATATAGGAAACCGGATAATGTGACAGAAGAACGTCCGGTATATATATGTTTTAAGATAGTAAAGAAAGTTTATTGCTATAACGGATACACCCATTTATTTAAATAATATCTGAAGACTTGTTACCATGCAGTTAATAAAAACTTTAAATTTTCGTTTTGGTCAAATTTCATTGATGAAAGTAAAAAATAAAACGTATAATAATAATAACACATAAAAATCTATTATGAACCAGATGCTAACGTTGTTGAGAGACCGCTGACAACTAGAATTTACCATACGAATAGCCGTGAAATTCAAATACATGTACATATTTGTGACACGCTTCAAAAGATTTTCATTATTCTATTCATGTCTGTAAAATCGTATTAGGTTGAGATTTTTTTAAAATATGTCTGATCTTTGATGTAATAAACAGCGCATTTAGACAAATGCCGTCTTTTCACATATGTAACCTTTCATTTTCATGTTTATTTTATTTCAGCTATTTCCTACAAGTCTTCTTCAAAGTGCCAACAAGCAACATGATGTTGGGGACAGTATACCCGAATCTGTAACAGATGAAAGTTTATTGGAATTTAACTCTCAAACATTTCCTAAAACAAGAAATTTGACTGATTTTTCACCTCAAAGCAATTAACCACCAAATACTGTAGATGATTATATGACAACTGCACATAAATAATGTTGCTGTAAAGGGTGTGGCTCGAACTTAATATAGTTTGATAGTTTGTTGGTATTTTTATGTATAAACTTTCAATATACGATGACAAAAGAAAGCTATGAGAGCGTAAATTGAGTGACATCCGGGTGTAAATTCTATTACGTAAGTGGTTTGAACAAAACAAGACTAAGTGCTAAACATAGCATAGTTATAATAAACATATTCTAAAGTGGATAAAGCTATATGTCTGTTGCAATCTCTTTTTAATTTTGCAAAAAGAAAAAAATACCGTTTAACAAACTTTTTAAAGATCGTTACAAAGAACTGTAGAAAGCAAAATATTCATTATTTAAGAGATACTGAAAACGAGTTTGAATTAAGTAGATTTGTCAATATAAGCTGATAAGGGAAAGAAAATGGATTTATACTACGTCGACTATCCTGTTGTTTTAATATATCATGTTGTAATGTTTTAAAACAGAAAAAAAATCAATTAGATTATTCAAACAAAAAGCGTAATACACACTTTCAACCCATCTACAAATAGCTTTAAACACACCTTAAACATATCTACAAATAGCTGAGATGACCTTTCAACCCATCTACAAATAGCTTTAATGACCTATCAATCTATCTACAAATCGCTTGAACGATCTTTTGTCACATCTACAAATAGTCATGATGAAGAAGGGCTTAGTGCCGCGGCTGTCATTTATACCTGAAAAATAAAGAGATATCAGTAAGGAAAATGGGAAGGGCGGGTGGGATGTTTTTGTTTGTTCAGGGCAGTTTCAGAGCCTCAGGGCCTGGATCAAAAAGGAATTGCAGAAGCATGCTGAGAACATTAGTGTAAGCTACGCCAGTCCAAGCTTTAACCAATCTTACATAGGAACTCATTAGAAACAATACGTAGCACTTAGTAAACGTTAACGTTAAAGTTAATAATGTATAGTGTATTTAAATCATACCTAAAATTTTATTCTTTTCATACATTCGTTAAAGAGGTTATGTTTAAGAAAACAAAATCGAATATTTTCTAAGTTTATGAAGTTGAATGTGTGAAAACGTAAAATATCCCCTTCTAGTTCTGTAATATAATATTGCGGAATATCACGTAGGTACATTATCATAAAAATCCCCCACTAAAAATGTTTATGTAGTAATTTTAATTATATGGATAACTACCATACATTATAAACGTGCGATATATGATTTCAGATATAATTTTAGATATGATTTAAGTTATGATTTCTATATTATTTGGTAAAGTCAAGCATGAATCACGACGTTATTTTGAAATAGCGACCAGGAAGAACGCTGTGTGTATTATATGTCGTTCTTTCAAATGATCACAGAGATATTCTAAAGTTATTAATCTTTTCTTTACCGATATATTTAGGTAGACGTTGGGTTGTAAACTTTATGATACATGTTCAACAAACAAAACTGTGTCTGGTATTTTAAAGAAATATGTATAAGATATGCACGCAAATAATATATCTTATTCTGAAATGTTTTCAAAGTGATCGGATGATACTAATATCAAATTAAGAAGTGTTAAATAAATGTGTAAATTATATCAACACGTTCATAAAAAATAATAATTATGAAATTTAAGAGGCTTCAATAAATGTGTAATTTTTTTATAATTTGTCAACACGTGTATACTTTGTAATTGTTAAAATAATGAATAAAAAGAATATTCGACCGAAGTCGGAAGGTTTGATCAAGCACATTTCACAACCGTTGAATGTCAAACATGGCCTTCATATAAGTAAAGCATCAGTCGAGGAAACTTCTGTACGTATAGGACATCAAGCAGCTTCACCGCCAGCCCCGTGCCCTGGTAACAAGGATGATGTAGACCAAATTACGGTATTCATTTAAGTAACTTTTAACATAAAACTAATTAAGTCTAAAGATACCTTTCAACTCGTTCAATAAATTCAGTATTACAATTTACACTCATTTAATATCCTTTATTTCTTTTACAGTTTCAGGAGCATGTCATATCACGAGTGCTCAGAGAGGAGATAATCCCGGCTCTACGTTTTGAGATAAGTGATATTGTAGAAGAAAAGATTAAAAATGTTCACAATGAACACGTTACAACTACAGAACATTATCACTGTAAATCATGCACGTGCGATGAACTGACACAACCGCAGATTCCCGCCCAGAAGTTAGAGGATAGTCCGAAACCATGTGCATCCATATTTCTCGAACAAAGTCACATACTCAACGACGCACGTAAAGAAAATATATCAACAGTAACAGGTATTGAGTTAACAGGAGAAAAAAGGGAACAATTTAAGAAGAAATGTTTTAGTAATCCCATATATAATCATAAAGGTCAAATATTACTGATACACACAGAACATGGGACGAAGCTTGTGAAATATGGTTCAACAGAACCTAATTTGAAAGATGACGCACTGAACTGTCAAGGTACGTTATACATATTCATAATGTATAATATTGAATATACTACATTGAGTACTACATCCATGTCTTTATAACAATTTGTAATTCTAGATACTATTTTGCATATACAAAAGCGGTTTACTTTTTAAAAAATTCTCCATCAATGTAGAATATACTTTTACAAAAAGACAAATAAACAAACAAACAGACGAACGGACGAGCAAACGAACAACAAACAAACTTATGATAAAATATAAGATCATGGTAGAAAATTTTATATCCTAATACCCTATGTTTTAAAATTCTTTATAAGCATCTACAATAAGAACGACTTTTTATTAGATACCTACAAAGTTGTAGTTGTGCAAATATGTTTCAATATTTTCAGGTAAACCCTTAACTGAATCGGATGAAAGAGAATGTCTAGCAAATGCTTTACAGTGTCACATTCACGAGCTTGTAGATAGTATTGTGTTTAAGGACAGTGAGCTACCTGACGCCCTTCTTGTAGATAATTGTCTCACTGAAGACGAGTGTGCAAATGTAAGAAAAATATCTGACCGTAAGGATCAGATTCGTGTCCTTTTATGTCTTATAAAAGGCAGAGATTTTCATATTCTGAAGAAATTTGTGAATCATGTTAGGTCTCACAATGAGCAGGTTGCTAATAGTATTGAAATAAAGTTTGAACAGAATAAGAGAGAAGGAAAAAGATGTACAAAATGTGCACTCTGTCAACTCACATCTCATGTTAATCTGAAGTATATAGTTGATGACTTATGGAAGTCTGGTCTGATAAATGACGGATTGTTCAGCATGATCGTACAGACGGACAAACCGGCTGGTGCCCAGACTGATCTTTGGAACGAAGTGATCGATTCTTTCAACACATTCAGCGTACAAAGTCCAGCCGATGTATCTCATACTCTGATAAACGCACTGACAAAGAAACAACATTACAGCCAGATAGCAAAAGGTGTTAGGTGGATGATTTGTACACATAAAAAACTAGTGTGTGGTTGTAAACTACGCGACAAATATATTCCAGAGAGATTATTTAGTTCAATAGTATCCTCTTTTTCTCCTCAGTCTTCAGAAACAGATATTTTAATCGGTCTGAACGACGACGCATGTTCCTCCATCCATTCAACGGAGTCTGACAACCCTCAAAACGAAATTAAAAAGGATGGACAGGTTTGTTAGTATTAATAAGAAGAAAATCACAAACAATTATTGTCTGTTTATTAATCTTTTTACTATTATTATAATCATTTTAGCATTTATTTCTTTTTATAGATGATAATGAACTGAAAAGTTATTTAGATCAGTTTCGTCACGTTGTTTCTATAAGTTTTTTTGTACTTATTTTCTTCATATTATTATTCTGTCTTTAATAACGAGAAATTGTTGATTTTTTTAATGAGAAACGAAACACAGTGCTTGATCCCTCTTATATTGTATCTAACATTTTTTGTTTTAAAATCAGGTACCTTTTGGATTGTTACCAAGGAGACAAATTTATCGATGAAAACATTGTTCATGTCAGTACATGTACAACCAACAATTCTGGACAAGAAGTTTCTTTAGATGCTGGTATAACTGGCTCCGGTGACAAAAAGCAATCGCCGCCAGACATCAGTATTTCTACGAAAGGTCATTCCGTGTTGACACAATCATTTTCTGGATCAATAGCTACAACCACTGAAACAACGTCCGCTCATTGCCAACCGAGGAGACCATCTGTAACAAGACAACACGCTGTTTTGACCGACGACTGGGAAATATCACATGTCTGATATAATGTTTTGTATGATATAAAATTGCATTGATTGTTATGATTTGTAGAATGACTGTCAAATCATTGATATGAATATATTTCATAGTTTATACTATCTATATAAACATAAAATATTTTTCTAAGGTTTCATAAGAGTTTTCAGTTTTCAGCAACATAGTATATATGAACAGATGTAATTGACATTTAATTATTCATTTACTCAACATAACAGATATTTTATAAAAGAGAACAGAAGCCCAGATGTGTGTATAATCAACAAAAAACGGCCGATAAAATAGCCGATATACACCTCTCCGGCCGATGTTATTTCGATTCTAACACGATAAAATAAGGAAAATCACTAATGTTATTTTTCAAGCGGAAATAACTTCCGGTGCTGATTTTCGTATAACGCTGCTCGATTTTCGCACCCTACTGTTGCGAAGATATAGAAATTATTAAACAAAAGAAATAATAACAGCGCATATACAAGTAGTCCATAACCGGTGTTTATTGGCAGTTTAACACCAGTTTTTTCCTTCTTTGTCTATAGTGACAAAATCACGTGAGGGTTAGAATCAAAGATATTAATTTAATAGTAAAATGTTTTGAAAGAATATTCTGTAAAACATTTATTAACAGCAGCTGCAACAACAAACTTTACAAAGTAATTAATATTCTACTGAACCAATGAAAGATTAATTATTGAAATTCTGTCTACATTTGTTTTTACTGTTTAAATGTATGTGTCGATTTTCAAGTGTTTTAAATCTTGCCATATATACATGTATTTACCAACATTAATAAAACTAGATTGTAAGTTCAGCCTTCTGATGATTTAAGTGATAGGTGACGAAATGGAACGTTGACCTGGGTATTTCTCTGCACCACGGACTTTCTGCAAGAAAGGTAGTGCTAGGAAAACTTTATATTCAAACAAATTTGTCCATATACAGGGTGTTTCATAATATGTGATACACTTTCAAATAATTGTTCCTTTACTGATTTTATAGCTACAAACAAATTGCTTATACCAAAATAAATAGAGGATATTTGTTTAGTTCAGTGTAAGATCGGAATATATTTCACCGAGTGAGCACCAAAAGGTATATTTCACGAGTGGCACAGCCACGAGTGAAATATGAACTTTTGGTGTTCACAAGGTGGAATATATTTTGATCTTACACTAAACTAAACAAATTTTCTTTTTATTATATGCAAAGAAACGTTTTAAAAAGACATTAAACCTAATACTGAATGAAAAGCGCGCCAAATAATAATACAACGTGACGTCATTTACGACGTCATGTCATTAAGTTGGTACCCAGTTCTGTGCACGCTGGTATTTTAGTGAAACAACGTAAGGGGCTTAAATTCAAAACAGTGAAATTATCAAAGTGGTAATTTCACTGTTTCAAACAGTGAAATTACCAGTTTTTATATCACTGATATATTTCTATAAACCACCGAAAAGCATGTAATAAACTAGGCACTTCGCCATTTTGAATGCGACGTTAAATACTGGAAAACGTTAACTTCATAACGTCATGTATGACGTCATTATTATCTGTTATTTTCAAGATGGCGTTGTCCACGGAAAAGTGTCAAGATATCGCAAAATTGTAATATGAACATCATTCTATCATATCTGTAGGAAAATGTACCCTGCCAATAGAAGGGTGACCAGGCTACAAGTAAGCAGAGTAGTTAAAAGATTTGAGCAGTACGGAAGTGTACTTGACCAGAGACACCGAAACCAGGGCCATTCTTTTTCCAAGACCAAGACTGAAATACCGAGACAATCAACAGTGACCGCTATTTGTCTCTTCTAAAATACAACTTTCTGCCTGCACTCCGTCGGAAAGGGGTTGATATGACACAAACATGGTTTCAACAATATTGTGTCGCTCCACACTTGGCCCAGAGAGTTCTTGAATGACTTAAAAGAACATTTGACAAACGATTTATCTCTCTGAAGACGGAATGCACTTGGTCGCCCCATTCTCCGGATCTCAGTCCTTTAGATTTTTTTCTTTAGGGCTATCTAAAGGACAAAGTCTACAACGTGCAGCCAAAGACAACAGATCAGCTTAAACAGTCCATAAGATGTGAAATAAGAAAGATTACTGGTGACATGTGCAATAATGTGATGGAAAACTTCATGAAACGTGTGGAGATGGTGCGACGCCATAATGGACGTCATTTTGAGTACATGCTATAAATGGACGTAGCTTTAAATATTATTGGTAGGTTAAATAAGGAAAAAATGGACAGCATTTCCCTTTAATATGGTACATTTTTCATTATTACTGACATTCTTACATAAACGAAACATTTGATTAAAAGTGTATCACATATTATGAAACACCCTGTAGATCACTAGCATATATACAGAAACCTAGAATCAATAGTGATAATAAAATTCATAAAGAGTACTGACAGATCTTAGTAATTCGCATATAATCGGTAGATCTTGGTAAGTCCGTGCTTACCGACTGCGCTTGGTAATCCGGTCATTACCGACTGCGCTTGGTAATTCGGTCCTCACCGACTGCGCTTGGTAATTCGGTCCTCACCGACTGCGCTTGGTAATCCGGTCATTACCAACAGAGCTTGGTTATTCGGTCCTCACCGACTGCGCTTGGTAATCCGGTCCTCATCGACTGCGCTTGGTAATCAGGTCATTACCAACAGAGCTTGGTAATCCGGTCCTCACCGACTGCGCTTGGTAATACGGTCATTACCAACAGAGCTTGGTAATTCGTTGCTCACCGACTGCGCTTGGTAATTTATTACAGTTACAGAGAGGGTTAGGGCCTTATCATAATAAATCTAAAATATGCACATTGTGTATATCCAAATGTTCTTTAAGTGTATTATATGGTAATTTTGATCACGAATACATGCTGGTTTACCTATACATCACCTTTTTTATTTCAAAGTTGTTGGAGCTTGATATTTTGTCATGTAAATGAATACAAAGTAGCGAATAACAAATGAGAATTTGTAATAGGAAGTGTACAAAAATTTAACGTTAATTCTTATTTGTTTGAATTTAATTTAGAAATAGTGACAATACATATTTAATTTTACTGTTAAGATATATGTGTCCATTTTCAAGTGTTTTAAATCTTGCCATATATACATGTATTTACCAACATTAATAAAACTAGATTGTAAGCTCAGCCTTCTAATGATTTTAGTGATAGGTGACGAAATGGAACGTTGACCTGGGTATTTCTCTGCACCACGGACTTTCTGTACGAAAGGTAGTGCTAGGAAAACTTTAGATAGGAAAATTTTAGATTCAAACAAACGTGTCGATATAAATCCATCTTATTCCAACATGATTGGTAAATTTATGAAATAGTACTTGAAGATCTTGGTAATTCGGTCCTGATCGACAGAGCTTGGTAATTCGGTCCCCACCAAAAGAGCTTGGTAATTCGGTCCCCACCAACAGAGCTTGGTAATTCGGTCCCCACCGACAGAGCTTGGTAATTCGGTCCCCACCGACAGAGCTTGGTAATTCGGTCCCCACCGACAGAGCTTGGTAATTCGGTCCCCACCGACAGAGCTTGGTAATTCGGTCCCCACCGACAGAGCTTGGTAATTCGGTCCCCACCAACAGAGCTTGGTAATTCGGTCCCCACCGACAGAGCTTGGTAATTCGGTCCCCACCAACAGGGCTTTGTAATTCGGTCCCCACCAACAGAGCTTGGTAATTCGGTCCTAACCGACAGCACTTTGAATTTTCGCATGGTAATTCATAACTTAATGACGGAGTTCAAAAGTCGGCTATGTAGGCGTTATAATTTTAAATCTAAAATTCTAAGTCCAAATGTTCTTTCAGTCTATTATTTTCTTATATACATGCTGGTTTATCTAGATTTATTACATGTTATGCAGTAGATTACTGAATTATAACGGTTAATTATATTCTGATAATTTCACAGAAATGATTACCAAATATAATTTCACAGTAGCCGAACTATATTTGGCGTAAAAATAAAATATTTATCATTAATGAATGTTTTTTTTTCAGCGGAAATGTAGTCAATCATAATAAAAAATGTACGTGATAACTGTAGTTTGTAAATATTTACTAACGTTGTGCTGAAAAACATCTTAAATCTAAAAATAATCATGGAATTATATTTTGCTTCAACATTGTGACGTCATTATTTGATGACGTCATGAAGATAAGAGCATGACGTTACGCGGCAAAAATCAGTAAAATGGTGTAAAAATCGTTAAAAAATCATGAAATAAACAGAAAATTTGTTTGTTTTACATGTAAAATCAAATAATATTTCACTCGTGAACCCCAGCTATTATATTTTCACTCGTGGCTACGCCACTCGTGGAAAATATTGCATCTGGTGTTCACTCGGTGAAATATTTTTCGATCTTACACTGAAACAAACAAATATCCTCTATATCATCTTTATATTTCAAAGCTACTGGAGCTTGATATTCTGTCTTGTCAATAAATAAAAAATAGCAAATAAGAATTTGTAATAGGAGAGTACTGCATACATAAATTTAACGTTAATTCTTATTTGTTTGATATGTTTTATTTTGAAGCTCCTATGCTAAAACTAGTTTTGCCACTCCTGCGATAATTGAACTGAATGATTCATGTCACGAAACGAAACCGGCAAAAATTACAACTGTGTATTGAACAAGTTTTGATTTTATTTAATCGTACAGTCATGCCGGTGTTATATTACCGAGATAATTGCCATACCCGTTAAGTCTATTGATCTGTATATACATGTCCAGTACTGTATATATTGATTTAACTATGTATTGATATTGAACATGTCTATACTTCGTATTGAACTTGACGGATTTTGAGATTTAGCCAATGTGTACATGCTTAAAATATTTAGCAAACTGCGCACTTTACCCGATATTATTTCATGACATTTCAACACACGATTTTTGTAAAAACTGCAACGTTCGGACATGTGAAAATTTGATGTATTGAAGAACCCATACGTATTTTAGGTTAAATTAAATCATGTGCCATGGCTAGATAGAACTAATTACATTGTATAAGGAATAATAGTGAGAATTTTAAGGTATGTACACGTTTCCTAGTTTTTGATTAATTGTATAAAATATCAAAAGTACTACACTAACACTGTTTGCAAATATCAACAAGTTTATATGTGTACTAAGTCATCTTAAATATAATGGACTTTTTTTAACTTAGTACTTCTGCACTCGGTTCAATCTGTCACGGACTGTAACTCCTAACGAAATGTTTTAAGTCGTCTGCTTTTGCAACAAATCAGGTTTTTAATCAGATAGAAAAATATTATGTAACAAAATTGATTTCATTCCAGACTATTACAAGATGAAAGGATTAAAAAGGCGCAGTTCGTCTGGTCTAAATAGTAACTCATACAGGGTACCAACAAAACAACGGGGTGTTGACGACTCGGATTCAGACGACACTTTATCAGTCGCCTCCGAGGATTCTGTTAAAAAACATCCTGTTAGGCGTATGGTGACAAGAAAAAGTAGCTATGGACATGAAAAACCCTCCATGCCAAGTAAAGAAAGCACAATGGGTGGAGTAGTTACGGCGTTTCTTGGACTTAGATCTAGAACAATAGTTAGAGAAACGATAGAAGAAGAAGATGAACGACCACCACCTCCACGAAAAATGTTAAGTGCAAAAAGAAGACTCGCCAAGAAAAGTTCATCAACAGGTGATATTTATCCGTCTGCTGCAGTGTCTTTAAGGAGAAAGTTTTCCGAGTCAAGGGCGGCAACTGCTCTTTATTAACGACAGCCTAATTCAGAATTCTCTATGTCACATCTACTTGATTTTAGTCCTTGTCGAAACAATCATATGATCAAAAATATAACCAAAAGGGAATTCCTATGTGCCACATCAAATTGAAATGGAAAATTGAAATTGAATACCGCTCAAGCCGGTGCTAGCTAAAAATGGAAAATTGAAATTGAATACCGCACAAGCCGGTGCTAGCTAGGGGCGTGAGGGATGTTGCATTTTTCTATTATCCCTGATGTACACTCAATCAAACCAAGTCTGCAATTTTCATTCCGGGGGATCACACTTCATCCAGATTTTTAAATATTAGCAGAATTGCTGCAAGCGTCACATAATAACAATTGTTTTCTTGCAGAAAAATTAGTTAATGTATAAGAGTAGTTGCAAAGAAGGATTTTAAATCCCTGTAGCAGTTCGCAAGATATTTCATATATGTACATGGTACTCCTTTCAATGATCATTGAAATCATACCCAATATAATTCATTATTGTAAAATAGAAAAGCCGTTGTAGATATTTTCTCTGTGAATTTAACTAAATATAAACATGGACATACGGGTTCCAGGATGCGTTTATTAGATAAAGAAAAGAGATTATAGCTAAATAGATTGTGTGTGGAATATACTTTCAGCCTTGCTGGTTTAGCTTTAACAAGTGACAGTTTTATCTCAATAAAAACTTGAGTGACAAAAACATATTTTAGACAGAATTGTTAACCGTGAATGCGAAATATATATGATACATTTCTATAACCCTCGTACATGTATATAATTTTCAACAAAGGAATTAAAACACTATCAGTGATCATTTTGTATACAACTAAACATGTAAGATTTAATACTTCGTTATCGAAGCATGCATGTGTATTTTTGCTCCTCTTTTTCAGAATTAAATGCCTTATTATATAATAATCGTTTTTAACTTATTTTCTAATTTTTGCTCATGTTATTACTGTGCAAATTGTAACCAGTTCTTCTTATTCATATGAGACAATAGAAGATACTGCTCACATAGACAAGCGCCATACTCTACTATTTTCTATCAATAACCGATTTAAACTGAAATTATTTATTCATTACTCCAAAATTATAGCTTTCAAAATATTAATGCGCATTTCCTTACAACTGTGCTAAGTCATATTATTTTATGCTTTCCAGTGTTTTATTGTAATATATCAGATGATTATATTCTGATAAACCATTAGTGAAATTTATAAAATATAATTTTCACTGTACTGTAGCCGGACTATATCTGAATGCGGATGAAAAGAAAATCATAACTAAATGGAATAACAGGCAGAAATAAATGCCGTCATGCGTAAATTTTGCTTCTTTAGGAAAAGAAAGTCGATGTCATCATACATCATGTTAAAAATGAAACAAAATTAGAGAAATTTAACAGACCTAAATTTCAAAATTGATGATGTGACGTCATGATATGATGACGTCACAAAGGCGAATGCGTGACGTTACGCGGCAAAATCAGTAAAAAATACTTTAAATGACTTAAAAAGCATGAAATAAAAAGAAAATTTATTTGTTTTACATATAAGATTGAAATATATTTCATTCGTGAACACCAGCTATCATATTTTCACTCGTGGCTACGCCACTCGTGAAAATATTGCATCTGGTGTTCACTCAGTGAAATTATATTTCAATCTTACATGCAAAACAAACAAATATCCTCTATGTAATCAAGTATTTCATGTTGATACCATTGATAGTTTTCAAATAGTTCTACTTTAAAAGCAATTTTGACCAAAAACCCTACAAATTGTGCCTGGCCATGAACAAAATCAATGCTTTGTATGATGTCAGAGTAAACAAAATGCCGTACTGGGTGAACAGGTCACGCTCAAGGTCATCTACAAAGTCAAATTTTGATTTCACTTGTAATCCAGAAACATAGATAGCATCTCTGTGTTATCATAAGATAGTGGAAGTTAAATTGCCAATACAAAACTGTAGCTAATGTCTACATTTGAAGGTCATAAATTAAAAAAAAATATATCAATGTTAACTTATTAGAAAGGTTATTTTAAACACAAAACTAGTTTATTAGATCTAAATATTAAAAAAATTACTATCTTGAAAAATTCAAAAGTACACTCGCGTTTGAGCTGTTTAGTTCTATTAATAACCCGACGTTGACTGGAGGATGTTTTAGTCTCAAGGGGCAAACTTTTTTAATTGTTGTAGAATACCACATTGTACTGATACATGCAGAACATAAAAGCCCTGGTAAATATATAGTTTCTATGAAGACGCTTTTAACGTCTGCCGTTCTACAAGCCAATGCAAGAATAGTAATCCCAGGACGTGACTATTTTGATCACAGGGGCGAGATTCGCACGACTTTGGAAAATGTCACCCAAGAAATGCTACATTATAAATAATGACGCTCTATGACATTGCCTTAAAACAGAACAATTTCAAAATTCCAGTATTCAGTCCATGTTCAATAAGTGTCCCAAAGGATAGGGCCAATTTTAAACCTGGTAGATTTAGATCCTGATTTAGAGGTTCACAAGGGGATGCTACATGCCAAATACAAATATATTGAGCTCTTGGTATTGTAGAAAATGTGTTTCTCGGAATACTAGTACTTGACAAGTCAATGTATCAAGTTAACACGGGGTGGGGGGATCATTCTTTACCCCAGGGGCATAATTCATAGAGCTTAAAAGCGAAGGTCCTGTGTATGGGTACACTACACCATGCATATAAAAGATAAATAGAAGATACAATAAAAGAATAAAATTTGTTTATTCGTTAGCTTCAGTTTTGTAACTGTTTTAAGAGTATTCAATCATAAACTGATATACAGATGTCTAACTGGTGTTCCAGGTTTTAGTACCAGGTAACCTGCAATATCAAATTTTAACAATTTGCCAATTTCTAGTTTTTGATAACCCTTTATGAAATGTAAAAACATACACTCACGATACTATGAATATTCTATGTTAGTACCCCTACTGATTTAATAACAGATATTGTAATATACAAGATATATATAAATATTTACATGTACATAACATACAAAAACTATTAGTCTTAATATAAAAGCAGAGCATATCAGATTTTTTTTCTAAAAACAGTCATCAGAGTTTAACATTTTTCAATAAACTTGTACATTTTTGTATTCATGAATTGTACAATTTGAACTTTCTGTCTAAGATTATTGTTTATTCAACAGAACAAATTACTTCCCTTGTAATGCCTAATACAACTGCAATCAACACCAGTCAACACATTTTCTTTTCAATCATTAACAAGTCTAAACAGCTTAAAGATCCTGTAACACATTTTTTTATGGTTATATATCATAAATATGATGCTCAAATTGAGATTTATCAATACTGCAAGTTCCAAAAAGCATTATTTATAAGTTAAGTTCCAAAAAGCATTATTTGTAAGTTATTACCGAATTCAACATTTCATGTAAATAAAGGGAGGTAATTAGAAATTTCTATAAAGTCTTAGTCAAATTTTTCAATAAAAATGAATGCATATATTTTAATGATAACATAAATTGTGGACAAATATTTGCAGTACATATTTTGCATATTATTTAATGCTTGAAAATTGTTTTATAAGCATAATGATATACATATATAAAATTTCACTTAAATGCCGCAACAACCTGAATTACAACATACAGGATCTTTAATTATCAATATGATATATCTCGTATCCATCTAGGAATTCTTTCATCTTCTTTACACTCACAATATTCATGTACCACTGTGTGTTCTTTCATTGTTCACAGTTGAATGGTTAAGACATAATGTTTTCAGGAGTATGATTACATTATAATAGACTAGCATAGTGTATACATCAGGAATTACACTGCGCTCTCATCATTTCCTTAGTCTGTTCTAGAGAAATGGCATATGTGTAAACACGGGAGTCTATCACTACACCTGTAGCTGCATAGTCTGAAAAAATAGAGATAAACATTATGACAGCTTCTTATTTTAGTTACATGAGTGGGTTTTTTTCAATATCTTTGGCGAGTATCTGATAAGAGCTGCAACACTGAAACCGTCTCCTGATCTGTGAGTTAACCCATTCACTGCCATAGGGACGGCTGATGCCGTCCCTGTTATTTTTCTGTGTATTTGCCATATGGACGGCTTTAGCCGTCTCTATAATAAGAGTAATAATAATAAATTAATAATAATAATAATAAAAATAATAATAAATATCATGAAAATTATACCATTGACAGTAATTATTATTATACTCACAGATTTGGAAACATATATAATTATTATAATACTAATAACAAATAATAATAATTATATTAATTAATAATATAGTAATTTTTTAGAAAACCCTCTGGCAAATAGGTGATCAATAAAACAATAACCCTCTGGCAGCGAAAGGGTTAAAACCCCGGAGTTCTACAAATCTATTGAACTCCCCTGGAACTTTCATGTTAAAATATATATGAGCCGAGTCATGAACAACCAACATAATGGGTTTGCGACAAGCATGGATCCAGACCAGCCTGTGTATATGCACAGTCTGATCAGGATCCATGCTGTTCCCTATCAGTTTTTCTACTTTAATGGGGTTTGTAAGCGAACAGCATGGATCCTGATCAGTCTGCGCGGATGCGCAGGCTGGTCTGGATCCATGCTGGTCGCAAACCCATTATGTTGGTTTTGTCATGATGCGGCTCATATATTATACAACAAGATTTATTCGAGTAATTAAAAGGCTTAGCTTACTAGGGAGAGTATCATTTAATAATCTAGGGGTCACTGGTTCACTCCCGGGGCAAGGCAAGGTCACAACTGATCTTGGACATTAAGTGTAATGGCCGTTTGTCTCTCAAACCCGAGTCAGAAATCATGTGGAATTAGTGGTCGATCACAGGTTAGCAAAGTGGAATGTACTGCTTAGTTATAAATGTTAGTCTGATCGTTAAGATATGAGCAAAAATGACTGTGTTGAAATCAGTGTACCGGTAAATACCAAATAAACAAACACATATTTGTATACTTACCATTAAGCTTCTGGAGCAAGTCATCCATTGGAACATTTAATACTTCTATAAATTCTGGAAAACAAAGTAATTTTGGTACTTTTTCTCTTATTTTTAATTGGTCATATCAGCGTCTATATACAAGAATGGCCCTTAATGCATTCAGTGTTCGAAATTAGCAGTAGTCCTATAGCCCCTGACTACTAAATTTCTCCTCGGGCTACCAAGTTTTCACAGTAACAAGCCCGACCAGACTACTGTATTTTCAGAGGCAATATTAACAACTGTTTTGAACAAGTGAATCATGCTAGTGAAATGTCTTTTGGGCTAGTGAATATTCCAGTCTGGTAGCCCAACCAGCCTAGTGGATTCGAATCCTAATTTCTTACACTGTGCATTAGTCAAGCAGTGGAAACATGGTGAAAAATACTGCAAAATAAGTCATTAATTGCATACAAAAAGTAAATTATTACTTGAATATTGAACCTTTTTTACTTTCTTCAGAGTCTTAGTACATTGTTCTCAAGTTTGATTTTCTAGAAATATGTTGGCTCATGTTGTGGCATGCAGCTTTAAGATATCAGAATTAAGACAAAGAAAACTAGAACTATCACTAAATGTGATTAATACCCCCACAAGACTGCTTTGGAAATGAGGATGTTACTAGTAACAGAATACCTTGTAAAAGAATTGAAAAATAGAGTTATGGTTGTGGGCAATTAAAGATAGTTGTGGTTCTTGTATGTTGCATTTCCTTTCAATGTGGTTGGCCATTGATGAAGTTTAATTGAATTACTCTGTAATAAGTCCAGAAAGACAAAGAAAAGGAACAAAGGGCAATAACTCTATAAATACTGAAGATATAGCTATAGTTCTTGTGCACTGCACTTCCTCTTATTGTGCTTGACCATTGAATGAAGTTGTTTTGAATTCCAACCAGTACGTTTTAAGTGATGCTCCGGACAAGGAAAAGTATCAAAGGGCAGTAACTCTGTATTTTGTCAAAATGGAGTTATGGCTCTTGTGCACTGCACTTCCTTTTAATGTCCTTGACAACTGTATGAAGTTGTACTGAATTCCAAACAGTTGTTTTCAAGTTATGCTCTGGACAAGGAAAAGTAACAAAGGGCAATAACTTTGTAATTAGTCAAGATGGAGTTATGGTTCTTGTGCACTGCACTTCCTCTAAATGTGCTTGACCATTGTATGAAGTTATATTGAACTCCAACCATAAGTCTTCAAGTTATAGTCCGGACAAAAAAGCAATGGAAAAATAACAAAGGGCAATAACTCAGTAATTAGTCTAGATGGAGTTATGGTTCTTGTGCTCAGCACTTCCCCTTATTGTGCTTGACCATTGTATGAAGTTGTTTTGAATTCCAACCAGTAGTTTTCAAGTCATGCTCTGGACAAGGAAAAGTAACAAAGGGCAGTAACTCTGTAATAACGCAAGATGGAGTTATGGTTCTTGTGCACTGCACTTCCTCTCAATGTGCTTGACCATTGCACTTCCTCTCAATGTGCTTCACCATTGTATGAAGTAATAATGAATTCCAACAGTTAGTCTTCAAGTTATGGTCCGGACAAAAGAAAGCAATGGAATAGTAACAAAGGGCAATAACTCTCTAATTACTTTAAATAGAACTTCTTTTTTGGTGGTATAATAATAATTGTCTATACGTATAATTCTTACCTCCATCATCTTCATAATGATTTATGAAAAGAAAAAGAAAATCATATATTACATAAACCTGTAATACAATGTCTTCATTTACTCATATCATACAAGTACTGTACACATCAGCTATGTTAAAATCATTCATCAAAGAAAAGTTAAAGATAACATATATAATTCATTTTAATCAAGTACGTTTCATAACATAATAAGTCAAGCATAAAAATGTATTTCTTCAGTAAAACACTTTATGTATGATTTCCTATAAGAGATATTCTGTTGTACATGTACATGCTTTACAACTTAATACTCAATAGTTACAAGACATAACATTACAGTACATTATTTGGAATACATGTATATATAGAAATATATTTTATACCTGGTCTAGCTTTTGGATTCTGATTCTCAGGTAGATCTCCATCTATCTGTATTAATATATAAACATCTTAATATATAACTGAAATATATTTATTTTTGAGTAGATATCCATCTAACTGTATTAATACATAATCATTTTAATTCATAAATTAAAACCCCATACTTTTAGACCGTTTTCAAAGCAGTGTGGGGGAAAAAGGCCAACATAAATAAGATGGCGTTCAATGGCTACGCCATCACAGTGACAGTCATGTATGTTAAAACTTGAAAATATCAAATGATCTTGTAGAAATGTTCATTTTCATAATATAATAAAATGGGGGAAATTTAATTAAATGTTTACATTGTTTTAAGATTACGACTGGTTTGTGCTTGCTTAAAAATCCCCCTACTTTTGGTCCAAATTCCCTGCTTTTTAAAGCCAAATCCCCCTATCTGGGTGGCTGGAAATATGGCATGTATGATCACTGCACAATAAAAAAAAAGTAACTCAAGTACAAAGTTATCATAGCAGGATGTCTTTAAAGTATTGTTTTTAGTAATGATAATATGCAATAAAGAACAGAACACAACAATAATTTTATACAAGCACATAGTTAACCATCTATGATGCAGGGCTCACGCTGTCGGTCGCCATAGTCGCCATTTGCGATTATTTTATAAGATTGGCGATTATTTTTGCATTTTGGCTACAAAATCTGGCGATTATTTTTTACTTCCAACAGTGTTTATATAAGGTGTAAAAATCGATAAAGAATGCAGTAGACCCAATTAACACCAGCGGGGTGGATTTAATTGAGTGTCAACTTTTTATCGGTCACGTGCTGCTTACCATATTGCCCGAGGTGATAAAAATACATGCAAGATGTAAAATTGTATAAGTACTGTAAAATATTGTCCAGCATTATAATAGCCATCAAATATCCGTCAATTAGCCACAAAAAATCGTCTTAAAATTGATAAACTGGATATTGACCAACCCAAAATTTACCGTAAATTGCAGTAATGGCAAATTTTGAAATTTTTTGTTTTAAGCTGCTTGACTAAATCGCCAGTGGAAAACAATGATAAAATATTTAAAAAGTATTAACTTCCAAACAACTATTTGCACAACAACCAAAATTGTGAATATTTCTTCAGAAAACAGGAAAAAATCCGATTGTCACATATTTTCGCGACACCGATAATTTTGATATTTATTTAAAGGTGAAAATAAGCTATGTTCTGTTTAAAAATCTTTACTATCATGGCAGAAAATTTGTATTACATTGGTGATGAGGACATTTTTCAGTAAGTTATTCAGAAAAAAGGCTGCATTCTGTGAATGAGTTTGCAAGTGTTATTTCTATAGGCTAATATGACCTAGATCTACTCCAGTTCTGTGTGAAATGTGGAAATTGACAGGGGTTATAGCTGACAAAATTTGATTGGAACAAACAAAAGAAATTGTATGATAATAGCATTATGTAAATTTATAATGAATCTTTAATATTATTGATATACAGTAATTATACTATATAACATTTTTATTCTGTTCTATTATAACAATTAAAGTTGTGGTATGAGTTTGCAAGTGTTAGTTATCAATATACACAAATGACTATCAGTTTATTTGAGAATCCTTAAGTTTTATATGTTATGTTTATTTAATAAACTGCTTATGTTGTTAATCGCTAAATCGTGAATAGTCCGCTGAACTTTTGGCTATTATTATTTTAAGTTAAAAATATTGGCTATTATTTTATTTGAGCCAGTGTGAGCCCTGATGATGTAAAAATACATGTATTTTGCTATTTTTGTGTACTTCAGTAACTGTTCTTCATTGTATACACAACATTGTATACAATGTGTTTAAGCCAATCAGAATTCAGGAAATTTATTTGCAGTATTATAAAAATTGATATCCATTGTACATTAAGACATAAGCTGTCTGGTTAGCTCAATAAGTAGTGTTGGACTGTGAATCAGGCAACCCTGGTCAAACCCTGGTTCGATTCCAGGATGGTGCAGGTCACTTTTATTGTGATTGATCATGAAATCTTTTCTACAGACATTCCCACTGTACCTCTGCTCTGGCATGTACAGAAGTTATCAGTTCCTTGCTAAAGTGAAGGCAACTAGTACTGGAAAACTGGTTGACAGCCTGCCCTGCAAACTGCAAATAGCTGAACTGTAAATTCAATGTGGCTTCAGTGTTGTTATATTTTTCTGGTCCTTCGGGATCATTGATACCAGCACTATTAAGTGTTGAGAACTGAGTACCGCTCAAGCCAGTGCTAAGGGGCGTGAGGGATGTTGCACTTATTCATAATCCCTCATGTACCGACTCAATCACACCGAGTCTGCAATTTTCATTTAATTTTGTTGTGATAAATGCTTCCAAGGGATCACTTTGTTTCCAGATTTTTTTACTACTGTGATCAGGAGTGAAAACTACAAACACCACTTTAAGACACATGGGAATATATTTTTATCATCATTACTGAACAATTATTGTTTACCTCTACTGTGATAAGTTTAGCAGTTGTGTTTCCAAGTCCTGCATCAAGGCTGGTCACTGAAATAAATATAAACTAGGATATACAATGTACATTTATAATACACATAAATATATATTAAACTTGTTCTTTTTTGTTGAAATGATAAACATATATAGTTCATTGCATAGTGTCCTTTACTAACCTGACTACTATTACTGTACAAACGAAATACAAATGTGAAATGTGCTAAAATATTCCTGTTTAACAAAAGATACATACCTGGTGAAATGTGTTTACTATTTATGTGTAACAAAAAGTACATACCTGGTGAAATGTGTTTAACTATTCCTGTATAACGAGGTACATACCTGGTGAAATGTGTTTAACTATTTCTGTATAACAAGGTACATACTTGGTATAATGTGTTAAACTATTCCTGTATAACAAGGTACATACCTGGTGAAATGTGTTTAACTATTCCTGTATAACAAAAGGTACATACCTGGTGAAATGTGTTTAACTATTCCTGTATAACGAGGTACATACTTGGTGAAATGTGTTTAACTATTCCTGTATAACAAGGTACATACTTGGTGAAATGTGTTTAACTATTCCTGTATAACAAAAGGTACATACCTGGTGAAATGTGTTTAACTATTCCTGTATAACAAGGCACATACCTGGTGAAATGTGTTTAACTATTCCTGTATAACAAAAGGTACATACCTGGTGAAATGTGTTTAACTATTCCTGTATAACAAGGTACATACTTGGTGAAATGTGTTTAACTATTCCTGTATAACAAAAGGCACATACCTGGTGAAATGTGTTTAACTATTCTTGTATAACAAGGCACATACCTGGTGAAATGTGTTTAACTATTCCTGTATAACAAAAGGTACATACCTGGTGAAATGTTTTTAACTATTTCTGTATAACAAGGTACATACTTGGTGAAATGTGTAACTATTCCTGTATAACAAGGTACATACTTGGTGAAATGTGTTTAACTATTCCTGTATAACAAGGTACATATCTGGTGAAATGTGTTTAACTATTCCTTTATAATGAAGTACATACCTGGTGAAATGTGTTCAACTATTCCTGTATAATGAGGTACATACCTGGTGAAATGTGTTTAACTATTCCTGTATAACCAGTTTCCTCTAGCAATTCTCTCTCAGCACATTTTTCTATTTCCTCATTTGGATCTAATAAACCTGCAGGTAAATGAATAAACTGAAAAATATTATATAGTTTGATTGCAAAATATTAGGTAATAAAACAATTGAAACCTGATGTTTAAATGTAATGAATAAGAGCACAAACAGTAGCTTTTCGTTAGACAGCACAACCAACTATTCTCAGAGCTTGAAAATTAGAAAAGGGGCATAACTCTGTAAAAAGGTAACTAAAATTTATGATAATAGAACTTACCTGCAGGAAACTCAATACAATAAGCTTTGACAGGTGGTCTGTATTGTTTAATCAACACAACACAGTCAAAATGTAATACCTTCTTTAATATAGGTATGGCCACAACAGCTGCAAGGAAAGAAAAAATACAACATTTTGTACAATATCTCTATCCGTTGATAGATTACACTACATGTTTTAGTTCTGTCAAAAAATGTATGTAATGCCAATTTTTTCCTTTTATTTTGAACTCTTATGATTCAAATTGAAGTCAAATTTTAATTCTACACTGAAATTTTCTTTCTGATAAAAATGTAATTTGATTTTAGTAACAACAGGGATCATTAGGTTGTAGTGTCAGCAAACAAATACAGTTATGCCCCTGTGAAGATCCAACACACTCTGTTCAACAGTTGGCCATGATAATAGTCATAATAATAAAAATATAATGCTAACTAAATGTCCATTTTAAATCTTGTATTACTATAAGTCTATTAATATAAAATGACTTGTTAATAGTGGAATCGTATAATATGAAAATTTTGTAATTACAAATTCTATTTCAATTCATGGGAGAACAGTTTTCATAAAAGGGCAAATAAGATTTATTTCAAAACAATCTTTTTGCTCAAGAATAGACAAGTTTTGACAGAATTAAATTCTGGTTTGATAAACAATAAAAAAATCTCCTAAGTATACAATCTGCAATGTGTTTAATTCATTTTCAAATCTAATACTTGCTAGAGTTACATTTACATGTACCAGTACAGTGTAATTATATTAATACCTTAGAGTTATTTGACCCTATCTTACATTGTTCTTTAAAAGGAAATGAAATTCTTAAAAATACAAGATATGTTTGTAAAACATGTATGCCCCCTATCAGCAGCCAATTAGTCATGTGATAAGGTTATTATGCATGACTTCTGACCCAGTGATCAAAAAATTAATAAGGGTTATCAAGTATCTACTGGTCATGACCTTAACCTTTGACCCCTTGACCCAAAACTCAATAGGGGTCATCTGCTGGTCATGACCAATCATCATACAAAGTTTGAAGTTCCTAGGCTTAAGCGTTTTTAGTTAATTGATCGGAAACCGTTTTTACCTACAAGGTCAATGTGACCTTGACCTTTGACACCTTGACCCCAAAATCAATAGGTCATCTGCTGGTCATGACAAATCACCATACTAAGTTTGAAGTTCCTAGGCCTAAGTGTTCTTAAGTTATTGATCAGAAACCGTTTTTACTTACAAGGTCAATGTGACCTTGACCTTTGCCCCTTGACCCAAAACTCAATAGGGGTCATCTGCTGGTCATGACCAATCATCATACAAAGTTTGAAGTTCCAAGGCCTAAGCATTTTTAGTTAATTGATCGGAAACCGTTTTTACCTACAAGGTCAATGTGACCTTGACCTTTGACCCCTTGACCCCAAAATCAATAGGTCATCTGCTGGTCATGACCAATCACCATACCAAGTTTGAAGTTCCTAGGCCTGAGGGTTCTTAAGTTATTGATTGGAAAGCATTTTTACCTACAAGGTCAATGTGACCTTGCCCTTTGACCCCTTAACCCCAATATCAATAGGGGTCATCTGCTGGTCATGACCAATCACCATATCAAGTTTGAAGTCCCTAGGCCTAAGGGTTTTTTCGTTATTGATCGGAAACCGTTTTTACCTACAAGGTCAATATGACCTTGACCTTTGACCCCTTAACCCAAAATCAATAGGGGTCATCTGCTGGTCATAAACAATCACCATACCAAGTTTGAAGTTCCTAGGCCTAAGGGTTCTTTTGTTATTGATCAGAAACCGTTTTTTTTTTCCCAAGAGGTCAATGTGACCTTGACCTTTGACCCCTTGACCCCCAAAATCAATAGGGGTCATCTACTGATCATGACCAATCACCATACCAAGTTTGAAGTTCCTAGGCTTAAGGGTTCTTTTGTTATTGATCAGAAACCGTTTTTACCCAAGAGGTCAATGTGACCTTGACCTTTGACCCCTTGACCCCAAAATCAATAGGGGTCATCTACTGGTCATGACCAATCACCATACCAAGTTTGAAGTTCCTAGGCCTTAAAGTTCTTTAGTTATTGATCGGAAACCGTTTTTACCTACAAGGTCAATGTGACCTTGACCTTTGACCCTTTGACCCCAAAATCAATAGGGGTCATCTACTGATCATGACCAATCACCATACCAAGTTTGAAGTTCCTAGGCCTTAAGTTCGTTCTTTAGTTATTGATCGGAAACCGTTTTTACTTACAAGGTCAATGTGACCTTCACCTTTGACCCCTTGACCCTAAAATCAATAGGGGTCATCTACTGGTCATGACCAATCACCATACCAAGTTTGAAGTTCCTAGGCCTAAGGGTTCTTTAGTTATCACTCGGAAACCATTTGGTCTACGGACCGACGGACCGACAGACCGACGGACCGACAAGTGCAAAGCAATATACCCCCTTTTCTTCGAAATGGGGGCATAATAATTTGCAACCATTCTATCATTTTGTCATATATTTTAATTGCATTATAATTGTAGTAGTCCATGACCAAAATGTCTACTTTCTAAAGTGTGAGAACATACCATCAGGTGAATCAACAGATACTTTTGTTGTCCTTTTAACAGCTTCCCAAACTCTGAAATTAACAAAAATACCCTTATACAATGTAGACTATAAGAACTATGTCACATCCAGAAGGGTGGGATATTTTGGTCCAAGGGGAATAATACAGAAGTCCACAAGGTAATGCTACATGCCAAACATCTTTAGTAAATTCTTTGCATTGAAGTTGCACAAGAAGATTTAAATGTGTTTTCTTACATTCATATATTCCTTTTGTCTATGCTATTATTATATTATATTCCCATAGTTTATGCTATTATGATTCATATGCCCTGGGCATTAATTGTGGCTTTTCAGGACATGATTTTAAAAACATAATTGAGCCTCTTAACGACAAAACCAACGTAATGCGTTTGCGATCAGCATGGATCCAGACCATCCTGCCCATCTCTTATAAACCCTATAACATGTAGAGAAACTGATAGCGAACAGCATGGATCCTGATCAGACTGTGCAGATGCGCAGGCTGGTCTTGATCCATGCTGGTCGCAAACGCACTGTGTTGGTTTTGTCGTGACGCGGCTCATATAATGTAAACTATGTGACCTATAAGGTGAGGCATGACTTATATACATTTTGCAGATTTTATTCTAGCAAACTTAAATGTCAAAAATGTAGACACTTCGGTATTGTAGATCCAAACAAGAATACATAGATGTGTTTACCTAGGTAATAACTTGAAGGTTATCTATATTTTAAAAAAATATTTTATAAATAAAACAAAAAAAACAATAAATAACTTTTAGAAAATTTCAGTACTAGTATACTAAGTTTCTAACTTTTTCATAAAATAGCTTTATCTCCCGCCCCCTTCCCCCTATCCCCAATGAGGCTAATGTTAATCCTAGCGGCATAATTAGTGCTATAATGAAAGGGAAAAATTTCGGTACTTACCTTTCTTTTCCACATGGGTCAGTGTAAGTTACTGTACACATTTTGATCCACTTCCCACATGAAATGTCCTGTTAAATAGTCAGACATTTGAAGGTAATATAAAAATTGTCAAGATTTTCATGTTACATGTACACAATTGTATCACAAAACAGGGTTTCCTTATTAAATTTTCAAGTTAGCCTCAATAAAGACAACATCACTAATTCAATGCCATCATTAATCCCACAGTAATAGGATATTCAAATGTAGACAGTGTACGCTTGGTCAAAATTGTTTAATATTTTTCACACACCTAAAAAATTGTGAAGTTTTCATCTAAAATATTTTGAATGTATATGTATATCAGTAAAATGGAACAACATTTTACAAATTTCTGCAGTCTGTTAAAATAGTAAGTCTGAATGGTTTTTATTTGTATAAATATTTTTTCTGTTAAATGACAGGAATACATTAATTATTTATTACAGTGTGAATGTAACATTTTAATAGTTATACATGTATATAACCTTAATTTAGACATGAAAGTCAGTAATGGCCCTCATTTGCCCACATCTGATACAGCATAAGATAGGTCACACTACTTCTATGTACAGGTCAGTACAGTGAAAACCCTCTATTAACACCATCAGAAGGACTGGATTAAAGCAGTCTTAAGTGTGTGGTTGTCTTAATTGTCAATATCATTATCAAGGCATATATATTTCATGACCACTTAATTTGAATTATTGTGTATAAACATGTTTAGACAATTACATTGTAACCTTCAAATATTACAATAAACTGTTGTTATAATATCTAATTGTCATTAGATCATAAGTCTGAAGAAATTTAATATTAAAGAATAAATTTTCATAGTCTGATCTTGTTTCATGTCTACATTAAATAAGAAATTAATTTTCCACAAAATAAATATGCAGAAAGTAACATTAAACCACTCTGAGGTTTATTTTCTCACCAAACTTTATACAACTTTCCAATCATAAGAGTTTTAACACATTGTTTCTTCAAGTGACATGCTTTAGAGAATTCACAACAAATTTGTGATCTGAAAAGCAGTTGACTATATTGTCAGTGGTTTCAATAGTGGGGTTAGATAAAGGATAAAACAATGAATTGGGCCTGCAACTGTTGGTCTTATAAGTGGATTTAATAAGTAAATTGGTTTTAATTGTGGATCATGTTATCATTAACATAAAACGCAGAAAATTCTGTTATTTTAAAAATTGGTCTTAATAGAGGCCAGGTGTGGTCTTATATATAAGACAAGTATAACTACAAGGGACTGGGTCAATTAACCCCAAGGCAAATTGTGCCCCCTTGTCGAAGGAAAGGACCTTTGACAATCAAGATCCTTTAATGTTTAAGACTTTTGTAGAGTCTATATTGTGCTGTATAAAATATACTGCAGGCATAGGGTATATTCCAGGAGACTGCCACTCTTTAGTCTTACCTCTTCCTTGACAAATTTGCATTGCTGCGCAATCTCGTTTTTCTCCATTTTCACAGATTTGTTTCAGACGGAAGGAAACATAAAATAATAATATGATGTACGAAAATTGAAAAGTTGTATTATGAACTCTTAAAGCAATATATGGGTTTTAGATGACACTTGCGTTACAAAGTTTATTTTGTAAAAACACCGGCGAAAGTCTATACGAATTACAAGACACAGATTTGAAAGTCGTAAAATCTGCATGATGTCGTAAACGTATATAAAGATCTACTGTACAGTATGGAATAAAAATACGTTTTTTTCATTTTCATGAAAAATAAATTAGGTTTTTATAAGGAATATTTTGAACCAAAACATAAAAAATGCATTACCGCATGTACTGAAAGATAGCAAGACACTTCACCCCCAAACATTTCACCCATCTACTGCAAAAGGTTTATGACCACCAAATTTTACTCTTGATATTTTGTCTATACAGATTTGACAAAGTCTGATAACTGAACTATCCTAATATTTGTCCTGATTTGAAAGATATTACGGAGTTATGTGTACTAAAAAACCTGACTTCACTATTTTGACTATATTTCAACCTATATAATGTGTCTATACAGATTTCAACAGAGTTCATTCGGTATGATCTGTCTATACAGATTTCACAAAGGTTCAATCATTATGATCTGTATACAGATTTCACTAGACCTAATTCTGTATGATCTGTCTATACATATTTCACCAGACTTCATTCGGTAAGATCTGTTTATACAGGTTTCACTAGACTTCATTCATTATAATCTGTCTATACAGATTTCACCAGACTTTATGCATTTTGATCTGTCTATGCAGATTTCACTATACTTCATTTGGTTTGATCTGTCTATACAGATTTCACTAGACTTTACTTATTATGATCTGTCTATACAGATTTCACTAAACTTCATTCGGTATGATCTGTCTATACAGATTTCACTAGACTTTATTTATTATGATCTGTCTATACAGATTTCACTAGACTTTATTTATTATGATCTGTCTATACAGATTTCATCAGACCTCATTCTGTATAATCTGTCTATACATATTTCACTTGACTCCATTCAGTATAATCTGTCTATACAGATTTCACTAGACTTTATTTATTACGATCTGTCTATACAGATTTCACTAGACTTCATTCATTATAATCTGTCTATACAGATTTCACTAGACTTTATTTATTATGATATGTCTATACAGATTTCATCAGACCTCATTAGGTATAATCTGTCTATACATATTTCACCAGACTTCATTCATTATGATCTGTCTATACAGATTTCATCAGACTTCATTCATTATGATCTGTCTATACAGATTTCATCAGACCTCATTAGGTATAATCTGTCTATACAGATTTCACTAGACTTTATTTATTATGATCTGTCTATACAGATTTCATCAGACCTCATTAGGTATGATCTGTCTATACATATTTCACCAGACTTCATTCATTATGATCTGTCTATACAGATTTAACCATACTTTATTTTTTTGTTGTTTTTTTTGTTTTGGGTTTTACGTCACATCGACACAGTATAGGTCATATCGTGACGTTCCAGCTTTACTGGTGGAGGAAGACCTCAGGTGCCCTTCCGTGCATTATTTCAGGCATGAACGGGCACTTGAGTAGAACCACCGATGTTCAGTAAGCTAGCTGGATAGCTTCCTCACATGAAAGAATCCAAAGTCCCTGTCGGGATTCGAACCCACAGCGATGAGGGGCAAGTGGTTTGAAGTCAACGACCTTAACTACTCGGCCACGGACGCCCCATACTTTATTTATTATGATCTGTCTATACAGATTTCACTAGACTTTATTTAATATGAACTGTCTATACAGATTTCACTAGACTTCATTTAAAAGTTGCCTCTATTAAGGCTTAAACAAGTGACCCTCACTGACAGTAATTTTAACCCATTTGAATACTCTTCTAAGGTGGGTCATACTTTATGAGACTAATATGTGCCAATGTTTTCAAAATCACATCACGCTCATCAAAATTATAAACTGGACATAACTTCAAACAAGAGGGCCATGATGGCTCTGAGGTCGCTCACCTGTATAAAGGCCCCCGGAGCGGGGCCAGTTTAAACCCCAGGGCTTTTATTTGAACAAACTTAGAAGGCACTCATAAGAAGATGTTTCACAATGTTAAGTTCTTACTATTTTACTACACACCCATGTAATGAAAAACAATGATTTCACCTTCACCCCCTCTCCCCCACCACCCCCCCCCCCCCCGCAGGGCCAATTTTCACCCAAGGGCTTTTATTTGAACAAACTTGGTAGACATCCATAAGAAGATATTTCATGCTAAACATCTAAGCTCTACCTCATTGGGTTTTTTAAAAGAAGATTTTTAAGTTTTTACTTAACACATATAGTTAAAAACAATGACACCCCTGGGTCGGGGCCAGTTTTGACCCAAGGGCTTTCATTTGAACAAACTTTGTAGACACTAACTAGAGAAGTTTCATGCTTAATATCTAAACTCTAGCTATTTGGGTTTCTTCAAAGAAGATTATTCAAGTTTTTGCTACACATATATAGAGAAAATCAATGACCCCCGCGGCGGGGCCAATTTTGACCCCAGGACCTTTATTTGAACAAACTTGGTAGACACCCATTGGAACATGTTTCATGCTGAATATCTTTGCTCTAGCTCTTTGAGTTCTTTAAAAAAAAAGATTTTTTAAGTCTTTACTATATGCATATAGGGGAAATCAATGACCCCCTGGGGCAGGGCCAATGTTGACCCCAGGGCTATTATTTGAACAAACTTTGTAGACACTCATTAGAAGATGTTTCATGCTTAATATCTAAACTCTAGCTATTTGGGTTTCTTCAAAGAAGATTATTTAAGTTTTTGCTAAACACATATAAGGAAAATCAATGACCCCCCAGGGCGAGGCCAATTTTGACCCCAGGGCTTTTATTTGAACAAACTTGGTAGACACCCATTAGAAGATGTTTCATGCTGAATATCTTAGCTCCAGCTCATTGAGTTCTTTAAAAAAAGATTTTTTAAGTTTTTACTTTATGCATATAGGGAAAATCAATGACCCCCTGGGGTGGGGCCAATTTTGACCTCAGGGTTTTTATTTCAACAAACTTTGTAGACACTCATTAGAAGATGTTTCATGCTGAATATCTATGCTGAATATCTAAGCTCTAGCTCTTTGAGTTCTTTAAAAGAAGAGTTTTTAAGTTTTTACTATATGCATATAGGGAAAATCAATGACCCCCTGGGGCGGGGCCAATTTTGACCCCAGGGATTTTATTTGAACAAACTTGGTAGACACTCACTAGAAGATGTTTCTTGCTAAATATCTAAGCTCTAGCTCTTAAAATTTTTAAAAAGAAGATACTTAAAGTTTTTTCTTTTGGTTGCCATGGCAACAAGAGTTCTGCATGGAATTAAATTCTTTGAACAATTTTTAAAGGTGACCACCAAAGGAACATTCCTGTGAAGTTTGGATGAAATTGGCTTAGTGGTTTATGAGGAGATGTCATTTAAAGTAAAAGTTTACGGACGGACGACAGACGGACGACGGAAGAAAAGCAATCACAAAAGCTCACCCTGTCACTGTGTGACAGGTGAGCTAAAAATACACTTATTTGCAGGGAGAAAACTTACCAGTTTTGCTACTCTTTCCTGGTCATTGTCTGAAGAACCAATGGCTTTTTCTGCAAGACGAATGTGGTCTCTAACAGTCTTAGATGTTGGAAACCACCGTCTGTTGGCTGGATCCACAGAATCGTTAAAGGTGTCCTTTACAAATATTTGCAATTCAGATGTAACATCCTCCTCCTCCACCATTCCTTCACTAACAAGCTCCTTTATCTTGTTTGTTAACGATGCGTCAATAACTTGATTAAGGCCTGCATGCTACAAGAGAATGTACTTAAATATCAAAAAGAATGCTCAGGCTGACACCTAGGCCATTAGGAAAGCTCCTGTTACAATGTAACACGAGCTTAAAATAACAAAATTAGTAAAACATCAGTATAATACATTGATGTCTACGCTTACATTTCCAATTTCATGAGATGAGTGGTTATCCAATGATGGCAGAGTTAAAAGGAAAGCTTTCTCTCCTGTACTTTGGTCCATCCTGACTTTTTTCCTCAGAAAATTTCTTTTGGACTTAGATAGTGTTGCAACAGCCTAAAATAACATAGAACACAAAAGTATCTGCATTTTTATTCAAAATGATGATGAATCAGCAATTGCGCTCAATGCAGATCATAATCAGCCTGCACAACAATGCAGTATGATCATGAACTGCACTGTTTGCCATTCAGGTTTTATGCTCACCCTTTTCAATAGTTAATGGTACTATCCAAATTGACGGGTGGACAAGTTCATTGTAGAAATTTAGCATGTTAAGGGTTAACAAGCATTTTCAAGTTTTTCAATCAAATTAAGGTAAACAAAGTCTTGTAGAACACGGAATGTCCCCCTTGATGCATTCATTTCACCAACCGACCTGTAATCTGCTGATCACAAACAACTTCCGTATAAAGTTTCATGACTCTAGACCCAAGTTTTCAAGTTATAATACAGAAATGGCTTAAATGTTTCATAAATAATGACCAACCTCCATATATCTTATCGTTCTTGAGGACACAATTTAATTGTTTAGTGCCACAGTAACCTTGACCTTTGACCTACTGAATATACAATCAATGGGGGTCATATACTGGTCCTTAATTATGGCCATAATTATGATCCTTGACCCATGCGCTCTTGAGTTATCATCCCAAAAGGGATTGGTCTATGGACCATCAACAGACAGAGAGCCCTACCGAATGACATCTGCAAAACAGTATATCCCATCTTCTTCAGAGGGGGGCATAACATTTAGTTCATAGTACCTTAAGGATAAAAAGTCAATTAGCTTAAAAATATTAATCTGAGGTTTAATGTTTCTAGGTTAATATTTCAATATAAGCAATGTACAATGTTGGAAGGACAATGCTACAAATTATACCTTTGTCCTTGAAAAAATAAATTCCATGGATTGTTATTTAAATAAACATTCTACAACATTATAAAAACAAAAATTTTAAAATCTGTATGACGATTTTTATATCATTTTATTAAGATGCTGTCATGGATCCCAAAAAATTCTTAAGAATGGACAATGTTAATTCACTAGTGTTAAAGGGATAGGGACAAAAAGAAAAGCTTACCTTTAATTCAGGAAATATTAAAATTTCATTCAATACAACTTTAGCCTTACAACCTATCTTCTTCGTCTCCAGTACCCTCGGCTGTCGTTTCTGTGTTCCTCTATATGGGTGATCAACTTTAGCCTGAAAGAATTTTTCCTTTTTTTTTCTAATGTTTAAGTGAGAGATTTGATATGACAGACAGA